CGGACCGGCCCGTGCTGCGCCGCTGCGGCGGAGGATACAATGAGGTCGGGCACGTCCCCCTGCAGGCGGATTTGGGAGGAGGAGTGAACCATACCCCAAAAGAAACAAACATGTCAAAAAAACATACTCAAAAAATCGTCCCCAGACTATTTGTTCACTATTATTTCGAATATCCCTCCTGTAGAGGGTTGGACAGGGACCGACCGTCCCGGCATTCCTATAGTCCTACCACGTAATGTTCTTAGAACACAGAAATGTTCTAAGAACAAACACAACGTTCTTAGAACATCAACCCGATGTGTTAAAACAAAGCAATATCTACCAGAAATGTTCTAAGAACATGTCCTGGAAACCACAAAAGGTTCTTAGAACAGTCTTTGGTAGGGCTATAGGCGAGCCAGGACGCTTCGCCACTGCTTGAGAGGGACACGCCCGGCGTAAGGATAAAAGAGGGCGTGTGCCGAGCGCCTCGGCTCGCCGCGCTGAGGAGGGGCGTTCGCTTCGCGCGTCGTGGCGGCGGCCCCAGCGGCGCGCTGTATGACTTGAGAGCGGATGGCGTGTCGCTCCGCTCTGCGGTCAGGTCGGGCATGTCCTGCTGCAGGGGGATTGTGGACGAAAAATAAACAATACTCAAACCATGCCCAAACAGAATCAAACACAGTCCAGACATCGTCCCCTGACTATTTTTTGGACCATCTTCGAGTTTTCCTCCCGTAGAGAGACAGGCCCGACTCAACTCTACGGGGCGGGAGGCAGGGAAAGGCTCGGGAAGTTGACGCTCGGGGATCGGGAAGTGGTCACTGTGCCGCGCTGAAGATGCGGTGGGGCGGAACGGGCGGCGCGACACGCCACCTCGAGATCCGACGTTGCGAACAAAAAGAAAACATCCTGGAGAATCTCGACCAGAGCCCCAGACCCCGCCTTGCTGCTGAACCTGTCGACGAGCTGGATCGATCTGTGAGGGTCCCAGGGCCCGACATCTGGCGAAAACGCGCGGCTCGAAACGGTTGAGACGCCAGGATCCCAGGGCACGCTGAGCAGAGTGCGGGTGCTCAAGAAACTCTGCTTGGATGGGCCTGTGCCTCCGCCGCCGGGCCGGCAGGAACTCAAGTGCCTCCCGCATGGGCCCTGGCGCGATGTCGGCCCCCTCCTCCTCGTCCTCGTCCTTGCTCATCCTCATCGTCCTCGGCCTCAGGCTTCTCCTGCACCCACCTCCTCGGCATCGCTGGAGCATCTTGGGTTTACTCTGGGCGTCCTCCTCCCCCACCCCATCCTTCTCCTCCTTTTCCTCCTCCTCGTCCGTCCCCCTCCTCCTCCTCCTCCTCCTCCTCCTCCTCTTCCTCTCCTCCTCCTCCTCCTCCTCCTCCTCGTCCTCGTCCTCGTCCTCCTCCTCGACGCAGGGGCAAACAAGAGTGAGCCCTTTGACGCAGGGGTAGAAGGAAAGCAAAGAGTCACCAAAGCGGCAAGATCTGGAAGTACGGCGAAAAGGACAGAAGCACCCAGAAAAGAGGCAACACCAAGCACAGCGGTAAGCAGCAAAGAAGGGCACCAAAGAAGAACAGCCAGACAAAGCGAGACCGCGGCAACGAGAGGTGAGCCCTTTGACGCAGGGGAAAAAAGCAACGAGACGAGGAGCCAACCCAAAAGAAGAAGATCTGCAAAAGCTGGAAGTACATGAACTCGACCCTGAAGAACAAGCTGAAAGAGAAAAGATGGCCCCGCTCTTCAGCATGCTGAAAGAAGCTAAAGAAAGACAACTAAAGAAACTGAGTGAGGAAAGAAGAGAAGAAAGCGATAATGAAAGCAAAGCAGCAACTATTCAGTATGATAAGGACGAACGAGGACGAGAAGAAAAGAAATATCAAAGGCATCTCGGAGTACCAGGACATCAAGTACTACCTGGACTCTAAGGTGGCGGGTGCCCCAGACCCACCCCAACCTCACCACGTGGGAAATGAAACTGCTGGAAAAAACTCCTCCCCCTCCCCTTCCTCCCCCTTCTCCTTCCCCCTCCTCCTCCTCCTCCTCCTCCTAATTCCTAATCCCTCCCGCTGGATCTCCGCATCGGAGTGGGCCATACAAAGAGCGCCCCTTCTCCCCGTCTCCATGCGTGGCCGCTTGGCGGCCGGAAGCCGGATCTTGCTGTTCCCCTCGCTGAAGGGCTGCCGCGCGAACATCAGCACCTTCGGGAGGGAGCGCCCGCTCTCCGCCCACACCAGTCCCGGCCAGGCCCTGCCCTGGGCCCCGGATCTGAGGCCGCGCGCCCCTGCACTGCCCCAGCGCTCCGAGGGTGCATTTTTTGTGCAAGCGGGTGTCCTTTTCCTTGGCTTTCGCCCGCTGGGGCACGTTATCGCGCCCCTGGGACCATCAGAGATGGTCGGCGGCGCGCAGAAGGGGGGTGGGGGGAGGGGGGAAGGCTTCTTAGAAGGAAGCTACTTCTTAGAAGGCACCGGCCTTACATCTGTAGATCAGGCCCGCGCCTTCTCAGAAGCATGGGTGCTTCTAAGAAGTCCTCCCCCCTCCTCCCAAACCCCCTCTGCGCGTGGCCGACATGGGCCCGGGCGAACAACTGGCGCCCAGGGGCGGGAGCTCTGTGGCCGCGGAGGGAACCACAGTCAGATCGGGTGCTCCGTCTGGGGCAGCCCATCTTGCCACCATACTTTGGGTGACCCTACAGGGGGTCCAGCTGCAAGGGGGTGGTGCAATAGATTTGGGGCAATTGTGTTGCAAATGTACTGCGCCGGAGCATTGTGTTGCAGAGTATTGCAAGTAATGCGTTGCCCGCGAAAGCGCAGCAGAGCACACTTGCGCCCCGAAGCGCACTGCACGCCCCATCTGTACTGCAACCCCAGACATGCATGGCACCAAATCGGATGCACCACCCCCCTGGCCATCGCTCGGACGTCCATTTCCTGTGTTTTTTTCGGTTTCGTGCGTGGTTTTTCTCGCCAAATGACCAAGGATGCTCCTCGATGGTCCTTGCCGAGGAAAAAACGCACACGTCCGAGCGATGCCAAGCCCCTCGTCGCTGGACCCCCTCCTGGGCCAACCCGACGGCAGGAGCGCTGAGTGCAGGGAGCGACCGGGCTCGTCTGGCCATGGCGAGCCTCGGCCACAAGCAGGGCCCCTCGCCCAGGCTTGAGTCGGGCGCGTCCCCCTACAGGGGCATCTTCGACGGAGCATAAAAGATACCCAAAACATACTCAAAACGTAGTCAACAAATATTCCCAAACTCCCCAGACTATTTCTTGACTATGTTTGAATACCCCTCCTGTGGAAGGACGGGCCCGACTTAATCCCAGGCCCGAGGAGCGGCCCCTCCCGAGCCCATCGTGGTCCTCCTATTTTCGTCGTCCTGACTGTGCACGGCAGGGCCGCGTCGTGACGACCCCTGCGCTGGCCTCCGACGCCGCGCGGATGGCTCAGCCTCGAACGGTCGGCGGCTTCCCGACCGCCAGGCCGATGCACACGGACCGATGCTGGGCCGCTGGCAGTGCTCGTCCCGGAACGTCCTTGGCGAGGTCGCCAGTGACGAGGTCGCCAGTGGGGTTCGGCTCTCCGGCGGCCGTTCGGGACGATCCGGGCCCCCCCGCGAACGCTCTCGCGCGGCGCAGCTGCTGGAGAGAACAGCCCGAGGCTGGAAAAAACCACGAGGACCAGCGACACCGCCCGAAAACCTCGAACCGTCCCCCCCCGCCGGTCGACACGACCCGAGCCTACCGTACACGGCGGGAACCAGGGGCTGAGGGCTAGCCTGGCCAGGGCCAGGTGAGGTGGACAGCGGCATCCCGCCGCACCACGCGCTCGCAGTCGGAGAAGAGGGCGCGCGCCCGCTCGTTGTTGATCACCTCGGTCGGCCGGCTTCGGCGAGGCCTCCTCCTCAGGATCTTGTCCTGCTCCTGCTCCTGCTCCTGCTCCTCCTCCTCGAGGGCTCATCGTGCTCCGCCTGCTGCCCCAACTCCACGTCCTCCCACTCTTCAACTTCCACTGTTGCTCCTCCTCATCCTCCTCTTCGCTCCCACCTTTCTGCCCCGATACTTCTCATCAGGGCTTTCTTCTCCTGCCTTTGCCCCTGCTGCTCCTTCTCTTCATAGTTCCTCCTCCTCCTCCTCCTCCTCCTTCTCCTCCTCCTCCTCCTCCTCCTCCTCTTCCTCCTCCATGCCCCTCTTCTTGCTCCTCCTCCTCCTCCTCCTCCTCGCTCTCCTCCTCGCTCTTCTCCTACTCGTCCTCGTCCTCGCCCTCGTCCTCGTCCTCGTCCTCGTCCTCGTCCTCGTCCTCGTCCTCGTCCTCCTCTCCCCCTCCTCCTCCTCCGCCTCCTACCCCCTCCTCCCCCCTCTTCTGCCTCCCTGCTCGTCGACTCGCTCGCCCCCTCCCTCCCCGCTCTGCCACCTCCGTGCCGGGAACAAAATTGGCCTGGCGAAAGACCCAACCATATGGGGCCAAGATCCCTGTGGTGGATGTTCCGAAATGGGAGCGGTTGGCGCATGTGGACGGTGACACTGGGGCCTTCGGTGGAGCTCCCTATGGGGTCACGAACCGTGTGAGGGAGTGCCGAAATGAGTTTCAGGGATGCAAGTGGACGGTGACACTGGCGCCTTCGGTGGAGCTCCCTATGGGGCCACGAAGCGTGTGAGGGGTGTGCCGACATGGGTGTGGGGGACGCATGTGGACGGTGGCGTTGGGGCGGTGGAGCTCCCCTTGGGGCAACGAAGCGTTTGAGGGGTGTGCCGACATGGGTGAGGGGGACGCATGAGGACGGTGGCACTGGGGCCCTCGGTGGATCTCACTATGGGGCCACGAACCGTGTGAGGGGTGTGCCGACATGGGTGTGGGGGACGCATGTGGACGGTGGCACTGGGGCCTTCGGTGGATCTGACTATGGGGCCACGACACGTGTGAGGGGTGTGCTGACATTGGTGAGGGGGACGCATGTGGACGGTGGCACTGGGGCCTTCGGTGGAGCTCCCCATGGGGCCACGAAACGTGTGAGGGGGGTGTCGACATGGGTGTGGGGACGCATGTGGACGGTGGCACTGGGGCCTTCGGTGGAGCTCACTATATGCGACCACGAAACATTTGAGGGGTGTACGCATGTGGACGGTGGCACTGGGGCCTTCGGTGAAGCTCGCTGTGGGGCCACGAAGCGTGAGGGGTGTGTCGAAATGGGTGCGGGGGACGCATGTGGACGGTGGCACTGGGGCCTTCGGTGGAGCTCCCCATGGGGCCACGAAGCGTGTGAAGAGTATGCCGACATGGGTGTGGGGGCCGCATGTGGACGGTGACACTGGGGCCTTTGGTAGAGCTCACTATGGAGCCACGAAGCGTGTGAGGCGTGTATCGAAATGGGTGCGGGGGACGCATGTGGACGGTGGCGTTGGGGCGGTGGAGCTCCCCTTGGGGCCACGAAACATGTGAAGGGTGTGCCGAAGTGGGTGTGGGGACGCAAGTGGCCGGTGGCACTGTGGCATTCGGTGGAGCTCCCTATGGAGCCACGAAGCGTGTGAGGGGTGTGCTGACATTGGCATTGGTGAGGGGGACGCATGTGGACGGTGGCCCTGGGGCCTTCGGTGGAGCTCCCCATGGGGCCACGAAACGTGTGAGGGGGGTGCCGACATGGGTGTGGGGGACGCATGTGGACGGTGGCACTGGGGCCGTCGGTGGAGCGTGGGGCCACGACACGTGTGAGGGGTGTGCCGACATTGGTGAGGGGGACGCATGTGGACGGTGGCACTGGGACCTTCGGTGGAGCTCCCTGTGCGGCCACGAAACATGTGAGGAGCGTGCCGAAACAAAGACACGCGGAGCACATAGGCAAGGAGGGGGAGGAGGGAGGAGGAGAGGAGAGGCGAGGCGAGGAGAGGAGAGGAGAGGAGAGGGGAGGAGAGGACCGCGGGGACCGTCTCTTCAGAACGAGGGCCCAACACCACGGGATGGTTGGGAACTAGCCCTCGCCAGCACATCGGGCCCACGGCCTCGGGGCTCGCCCCACATGGCGGCCTAGATGGGCCGCCACTTGGGCAGGGGGGCCCAGCCCCCCGCCACCCCCGAGGCTCTCGGAGGCACGGCCGCCGGGGCGGCGGCCCGGTCCGGATCTCGGCGCCGAGCGAGGGGGGGAAGCGAGAAGGAGCAGGCCCTCTCGGAAGGCGGCGGGGCTTCTCAGAAGCCCTCGCGCATTCTGAGAAGTTTTCTGTCGACGGGGAAGGCTTCGAAAGATTCGCAGAAGGCCGGGGGACTTCCGAGTCTTCTGAGAAGGCCCGCCCCCTCTCACTTCCCCCCCGTGCTCGCCGCCGAAGATCGGTGATCGGCCCTGAGATCCAGGCGCAATAATTTTCCTGGACAACTCTTCGCCAGAGGGTTCGAATGGACGTTAAAACAGCAACAGAGGAGTCCCACAGGGCGGACGGGGAGACCTAGACCGGGTGGACCACCCGGTCCGGCGTAGTTTTCGCCTTAGCGTTCCTCGCAACACCTTCAGGAATCGTGCTCTCGCTTCGATGCCGGCTACATGTTGGGTCGAGACGGTCAAGATCCAGGGTAGAAGTGCACCTGGGTGCACGTGGCGGTGTCCTCCCCCTTGTCACGGCTGCTCTCACCCCTGTCACGCCTCTTCCCATCTGCTGCTATGCAATTGCTTTGCTGGGGCCATCTTCACGACCAGAGCTGTCGCAAACTTTCGGGCCCTGGCTCGACAAATGCAGCAGATAGGTAGGGTCCAGGGCTTCCGCTCTGATGAGTAGCGATGCTGTTGTATGTATTATTCGCTACGTCGGATGCCAGGGTTGGGGGGCCGCGGTTAGAGCCCGAGTCACGCAGAAGCCCTTGATCATGGTGCCGTAGATCCTTGGTAGCGTCGTCGGCGTCGTGGTCGCCGTGCTCATCGTCGCCGCGGTCGTCGTGGTCGTCGTGGTGCCGCCGCCGCCGTCGGAGGAAGGTGGCGGTCACTGCGCACGCATGGGAGGAGTTTGCCAAGCAGACCAAAGGAAGATGGGTTCATAGGTCATTGGACATGATTGAAGAGGAGGAGAAGGAGGTGAAGGAAGCAAGATAGGAGCAAGGAGCGAACGTCACTTCAGCTAATGGATGCTAATGGCCATGCCGAGGATGAGGAAGAGCAGGATGAGTACGATGATGATGACGATGATGACGATACTGATGATGACGACGATGATGATGATGACGATGATGCTGATGATGATGGTGAAGGAGAATCCGATGATGGCGATGATGATGCTGGTGATGATGTTAATGATGGTGAAGAAGATGATGAGGAGAAAGAGTAAGAGGAGGATAACGAGGAGGGCGGCGTAGGTCCTCAACGTCAGCGGCTTCTGGCTCTCGGGCCCGTAATCCTCGGCTGGCCCCAGCCCGAGACTAGACGGCGTGCCTTCGCACTGCTAACCGGGGCCGCTCTCACGGACGTCTTCGCCTCCGTGCTCCTCCGCTTCCTCCTCATCCCCATGCGCCTCTCCCTCTTCCCCTGCCTCTCCGCCCCCTCTCTCCTCGCCCTCCTTCCTCCTCCTCCTCCCCCCCCTCCTCACCCTCACCCTCCTTCCTCGCTCTCCTCCTCCACGTGATCGTCTTCCTGCCTCCCCCCCTCTCGTCATCCTCATCCATGCCTTCCGTCGTCTCTTTCCGCACCCCTCTTCCTACGGAACCTGTGGGCGAGCGCCCAGCTGCTCCCGCATGGTGCTCGAAGCGAGAATCTGTACAGATGGCAACAGCGGCCCCTGAAAGCGAATCTCGCCCCTCCCTCCCTTCTCCCCTTTGTCCTCCTTCACCTCCGTCCTGCTTCTCTGCACCTCCTCCTCTTGCTCCTCCTCCTCCTCCTCCTCCTCCTCCTCCTCCTCTTCCCTCCGTCCATCGCTGACTTGCTCCTCGACCACTTCCTCCTCCTCCTGCTCTTCCTCCCTCCAAGCCCTCTCGTTCGCAACGTGTCGCTGACGCCTTGTCGTCGCGCACATTCGTCTGAGCTGCGCCCAACAGCTACACAGATGGATAGTGGGCCGCAACCAGTAAGGTTTATCGCCTCAGCGCCGCGCGCATTCATCTCAACGGTTCCCACCAGTCACGCCGATGGGGGAAGAGGCTTTTTGCAGAAGTGGGGCTTTCGCTAGAGACTCTTCCATCGCCAGCGTCAGACGAATGAGAGCTTTGCAACAAGTGCACGAATGGAGGGCAGTTCCTTCTCAGACATTGGCTGCATATCGCTTGAGACTTCCTCGTATAGCATGGGCCAGCGTTTCAATGCTTCCAACGGTTCCACGTATTGAATGCGGCCACCTTTTAGAATGGGTCTCTCGCTAAATATTTTCCCGCCCCGGGTGATCCAGCTTATGCCGCTTGTTTAAATCTAGACAGATGGATGGCGGACTGTGGTCCTTTTCCAAAGTGAGCTCTCGCCCTAGTGGCAGGCACATGGGGCACTCGTCTTCCAAGGGTGCGCTTCCCCTTCTGAGCAAGAACGCTGGCAGGAATTATGAGAAGGGGACTTGGGCGGAAAGGATGTATGACAACATCGCTGATGCATCCTATGATTATCCTGGCCCCTCCTCCTCCTTCTCCTCCTGGGCTCTGCATTCTCACCATCCACGGCGCTCGCTTTGAGGCGAACCCCACGTCCTCGAGTAGTCGCGCGACCCGCTGCCCTATGTCGAAGTCGATCTGCTTCTTACGCGCCCTCGCCACGGAGGTGGCCGCGACCCAGCAGTCGTGCCACCGCTCATCGTAGAGGTCGAACGCCATCCCGTCAGGCATTGACGCGAGGAGGAGGACGCCACCAATACGCAAGACACAACATTCCAGTAACACTTGGCCAAGGACCCAACCATATGCAGCTGCGTGTACCGCGAGGGGGATGAGACGAAGGAGGGGGCACGCACACTCTGACTAGCACACGCGGCATAGCATCTGCTCTCATGGCAGCGCTGGCCACGAAACGCGTAGAGGGGTGCGCTGCATGAGCTCGGCGGACGCATGCGAACATCGCCACTTGGACCTTCGGTGGACCTCCCCGAGCTCCTCATGGGGCCACGACAAACTGTGCTGGGTGGCGCGGACGCATGTGAACGTCGCCACTGGGGTTTTCGGCGGAGGTTCTCATGGGGCCACGATGCACCGTACTGGGTGGGGCGGGCGCATGCGAACGTCGCCACTGGGACATTCGGTGAAGCCCCCTATGGGGCCACGATGCGCTGTAGTAGGTGGCGCGGGCCCACGCGATCGTCGCCACTCGGGCCTTCGGGTGAGCTCCCTATGGGGCCATGAAGCGCGGTACTGAGTGGGACGGACGCATGACAACGTCGCCACTGGGGACTTCGGTGGAGCTCCCTATGGGGCCACGCAGCGCTGTACTGGATGGCGCGGACGCATGCGAACGTCACCACTGCTCCCTATGGGGCCACGAGGCGCTGTGCTGGGTGGGGCGTACGCATGCGAACGTCGCCACTGGAGCCTTCGGTGGATCTCCCTCTGGGGCCACGAAACGATGTAGTGGATGTCGCGGGCGTATGTGATCTCAGCCACTGGGGCCTTCGGTGGAGCTCCCCTTGGGGCCACGAGACGCTGGACTGGGTGGGGAGAAGGAGGACGGGGAGGAGACGCGGGGACTCTCTCTTCAAAACGAGGACCCAACACCACAGGATGGCTGGGAACAGCCCAGCGTCCCTTTTCTTTCGAAGACCCGCCAAGATTTCTTGGGTCGGCGCTGGACTCCTGCCTGGCGCGCGAAGCGCCAGAGACGCCACCGAAGGGAGGGGGGGGCAACTCCGACCCACGACATCCGCGAGGACCTCCGGACGTGCATGTTCAGTCGTCTGTCATTCGACGAAGTCCGGGTAAGTGCGACATCGGGTAGGGGTCGCTCGGGAGACTCCCAGAGCCCCCCCTGTCAAGAGGGCGTACGGGGCGCTGGGGTCGTTCAGAAGCGCTTCAGTGTTGCCGAACGCTCTATGTCGATGTGGCATCATCCCAGGCCTGCCCGAATATACCGACCATGCTTGTCGCCGGTGTACTGGCGACGCCGGCGCGGAGAAAATCGGGCTCCACATCGAGCCGCATCGATCCTCCGACCCCATCTACTCGGATCCCAACTAGGAACCCTAGAACAAACCCTGGAACCCCTGAGGACACCCGCGCTGACATCTCCCGGGGACGCGTGCTTACTCCCGCTGGCCTCCAACGATCTTCCACTGGTGGACCCCTACCCCCGTCGTGTGGCCGAAAAGGGGGGGGGGAAGGTCAGCCCCTGGGCTCCTCGAAGGCGAGGCCTTCTCTCCAACTCCCTGCACCGATCCTGGCTTCGGCGGCGAGCGAGGGGGGGAAGTGAGAAGGAGGAGGTCCTCTCTCAAGGCGGCGGGGCTTCTCAGAATCCCTGGCGGCTGCTGACAAGTTTTCTGTGTCCTCGGGGGAGGCTGAGAGCACTTCTCGGAAGGCCGGGGGACTCCCGAGCCTCCTGAGACTGCCCGCCCCTCCTCGCTTCCCCCCCTCGCTGGCAACCGATGGCTGAGCCCAGCCCAGGGCGCAGGATCTGTTTTGTACGCCCTGCTGGCGTGGCCTGGAATGCGCAGGAACTGATCTCTCGACGTCGTCGGCGGCGCTCAGAGGGACGAGTGTGGGGAGCGCTGGGATCTCCAGCAGTTCCGCGGCCCCAAGCCCAGACCTCCGACGACGCTTCGTTTCAATTCGCGAAAGCATTTTTTCGTCCCGCATCCTGGGGGCCTGGGGCCTGAGATCGAACGGGGCTGGGTCTTCCAGCAACTCCACGGCCCCAAACCTGGCCGATGTCGGCGCGAGAAGGAGCTGCGCTCCGTTTTCCCGCTTAAAACGCTGACTCCGACGTTTCGAATGTGGCAGCAAAATCGGTCATCGTCGTCATCGTCCTCGTCCTTGTCGTCCTCGTCGTCGTCGTCGGCGTCCACGTCGTCCTCGTCGTCGTCGTCGTCGTCGTCGTCGTCGTCGTCGTCGTCGTCGTCGTCGTCGTCGTCGTCGTCGTCAACGTCGTCCTTCTCCGCCGGCGCCCTCGCCCCCAGGCCGTCAACGACTCGACATGTGCGCGCATCGTCGATGATCCTCAGATCGATTGCTAGCGCCGACGTGCGCATGTCCGTCGAAGCCCTCCATCTAGAATAAACATAACCTCAAACTTTCGACGGTCCGCGCGAAGCGCCAAGAGTTTATGCTTACGGCGTTTTTTCTCCTTCGACCAGTGCGATGCAGGCGGTGCCACGAGTGAGGAGGGCCGACGTAGGCTGCGCGCCATCGGCAGCAGAGCTGCATAGGGCAAGCACACACACCACACACACCAACACACACACACACACCAACACACAACACACACAACACACACACACACAACACACAACACACACAACCACACAGGGCAAATACACACAACACACAATCACACACACACACACCAACAAACCAACACACAACACACAACACACACAACACACAACACACATACAGTGACACATACACACAACACACAGATACAACCACACACACACACACACGTCTTGCCAACCACGCGTCCTGGGACCACTTTTCCACCGCGGGCCCTCCTCTCTCACGGCCACGAGGGTTAGGTCGGGCATGTCCCCCTGCACGCGGATGTTGGGCGAATCATGGAGATATGCTCGGGAAATGCCCCGAAATAGCCAAAAGGTGCTCCCAAAATCGTCCCCGGACAAATTTTTGGACTACTTCTGAAGTTTCCTTCTGCAGAGGGACATGCCCGACTTACTTGCCACGAGGGCCCGAAAGCGGCCCGCAGGGGGCGACGACGCCGCACAACCCGAGACCCGACACCGCCCTCGAGTCCAATGTGGAGAGCCCCCGGGGACCAGCCTGCATCTCCTCCGGCACCCTCGGTGTGCCGATCTGGCCTTAGGTTTAAGTCGGGCCTGTCCCTCTACAGGGGGAACATTCTAAAACAGTGCAAAGATAATGCGGGGACGATTGGTTGAATATTTGTTGACTATTTTGGGGGTATCTTTATAATTTGTCGCTCAAAATCCCCCTGTAGGGGGACAGGCCCGACCTAACCTAAGGTCGGGCGTGTCCTCCTACAGGCGGATTTTGGACGAAAAATAACAACTAGCTCAAATATGCTGAAACAAATGTCCAAGAATTCTCAAAACATCGTCCACAGACTATTTTACTATTTAAAATACTTCTCCTGTCGAGTGACACGCTCGACGTACATCTAGCCAGGTCAGGCCTGGTGCCGCCGGGATGGCCGAAGCCCGGACATCATGGGCTCCCAAATTCGCGCTTCGCGCTGCGCGAAGCGCGAGAAGCGACCAACTTCGCGCTCTCGCGCCGCCTCCCAGGGGAGAAGAGGAGGATGAGGAGGAATCGGAGCCGAACCGCGAAGCGCGAAGCGCGAACAGCTTCGCGCCCTCGAGGGCGCCCCTGGACACCCGACGGCGTGCTGCTTCGAGGCGCGGGCCCACGCCGGGCCCCGACCTCTCTTGCCGGAGGGCCGCCTGCTGTCGCCCTGGAGCCTCCTTAGATGGCCCGCTGCAGGCCCGCCCACGGGCCCCGGAGGCCGAGATCAAAGGAAACCACCCGCATGTGAAGGGGCCCTGGGACACATAGAAGTACATACGCACACATAAAAACATACGCCCCATAATTAGTTTCCCAGGTTTTCTGGGTTTTCGTCTTCCCCCCCACTTTCCCCATTTCCCCATCTTCTCGGGGGAATCGACGACGAATGGTGTCTGTGTGTTTCTTCCCCTCATGAGCATGGGCCCAGACATGATCGAGTCGTGAAAAGATCAGGACGGGCTGTCTTTGTCCAGTTCCGGCCTCGGGGGGGGCCCTCGCCGAGCCTCGGGGCCGTCAAAAAACGACTCGGGGTGACAAACCGGTCCCGGGGAACGGGTCGGGACTTCCAGGGGTCGACGTTGTGAAAAAATCATGACGTCGGGGGTCTGGGATGGTCCCATGGGCCCGATAACGGCCCCCCCCGGAGGCCGAAATCAAGGAAAACACCCGAATGGATACAAATCAGTCCGTCGGAAATCTTTGAGCAGGGACCGACCCTCCCCGCATTGCTATAGGCCCACCACGACATGTTCTCAGAACCCAGAACTGCCCCAAGAACAAAAGCAATGCTCTTATAACAGGAACCAATTGTGACAAAACAAGACAGTCCCAGCCAGAAATGTCCTAAGAACATGTCGTGGAAACCACTGAAACCACTGAAAGGCACGCGAGCGGCGGCGAGCCTTGGGGGGGAAGCCGGAGGCGGGCGGGCCTGCTCAGCAGGCTCGGCAGGCCCCCCTGGCCTTCTGAGAAGCAGCTTCGAGGCCAGTCTCCGCAGACGGAGGCGGCGCCTCGGAGGGCCGGAGGATTTCCGAGAAGCCCCCCGACGCTTCCTGAGAAGGCCCGCCCCCTCTCGCTTCCCCCCTGGGCTCGCCGCCGATAAGAATGGCCGCCCGGCCAGCCCGTCGCCGTCAGCGCACGGGTGGCGTCCCCATCGGGAGAGAGAAGTTGGCGCGAGCGCCTGCTCGGAATTCCGCACGGACGCGAGCTGAGCCGCTGGAAGCTGCAAAATCGCTGGGAGCTGCTGAGCCAACGGCGCCGCAGACCTCCTCCCTCCCCTGGCCACCCACGCGTCGCGAATTCACACGCAGTGAGAGGTCTCGAGCTGGTGTCGGTCACCGGAGGCTCCACCAGACCCCAAGGCCGTGAGCAAAAATACTCAAGATGAGTAGCTGGCCCCAGTAGAGGAAGAAGAAGCGGTA